GGTCGTTTAGTTAACAAAAGCCAAAAGAGGTTTATTTTGCCAGTTTTGAACAACTTTAGTAAAGGAAAGGGGGTTAACGTTAATAGTAGTATGAAGGAGGTACCTGGAGAAGGTGATAAGTTTGATTTTGAGTCTGGTAAAGCCTTTATGAATGTTTTTAATAATGTTCCAGTAGCTGAAAATTTAGAAGCAAAGGGATATAATGATCGACATTCACCGTGTATACCCCTTTTGGCAACTGATACACCTTTCAATTGGGATATATAAGAGGGTTTATGGAGAAAGCGTGAGTTAACCAAAGCAAGAAATCAATAGGAGTATAATGAGTAGTATAAGGCGAGTTTATTGTTGGATAAAGCTCTTGCTACAGGTGATGTTGAATATGTTCAACTAGCTAGGCAAGTAGCACTTAAAAGGGTTTATGTTGTTAGGGTAGCTGATAAGGATGGATAGAACGTGGCTGCAAAAATGGCATCAAGTGACTTAATAGATCCAATGTCTGAGTTTTTTGGAAAAAAGCATCAGTTTCCAAAAAACAAACATTCCAAAGTATCGTACAAGCAAAGTTAGACTTCTAACAATTATCAAGGTCTTTCTTAGACCCAAGTTTCAAGTTTATATAGTCTTTTTTTTGTTCAGCTTCAACCTTTTGTCAATTTGAATTGGCAGCAATTTTCTTCATAAGGGATGTTTGTTCCTCCTCTAATGAATAACTATTAGAATCAGATACCTTCTAGTGATTTGTCTAGTCTTCCTTTCTCGAACCAGCATTCAGTTCATAACACTTAGTCTTTTAATACATGAGTAGATACTCATGCACAGCAAACCTTTCAAAGTTCTCTCAGAGCTTCATTTAGAAGTTCAAAAATGTCTAATAGAATAGTATTGTCTAAGCAAGTTGTATGTTACCTGTGTGAAAGAAAAGGATATTATGCTAATAAGTATGAGTCAAAAAAACATGTTAATCCACCCTTTTATAGTGAAAGTATTGGCTCCAAAAGAAGCTAACCACACTCAGATGAAGATGCATCTGGAGTAAAGAATATAAACGCATTAGACAAGTCACAATTAGTAACAGAAAGATTACATGTAGAATCAGCAGTTCATTATTGGAAAGAGATTATAAAGCTAGCACCTGTTGTGGTTCAATAGTTAGAAAAGAGAATTTTACTTTTCTCAAGAAGTATTATGAGACTAGTATCCTTATCAGTACCAAACCAATAGTAGTTTACTGTGGAGGAAAAAGATTAGATAGAACAAGAGTTGGATTGTTTAAAAATATCAGGAGCAGTGGAATTAGTATCAATAGGCAAGTTAAGGCCAGACATTTTATTAGAAGTGAGTCTAGTGTTTGTAGTTCCCAAATAAGGCCTCAAAAAGTTCAGATTAGTTATTGACTTTAGAAGATTAAACAAAACCTTATCAAGAAGGTTTTCAAGTTTGAGAGGTTAGAAACCTTGTTAAGAACAATAGGGAGGAATTGGTAGGTACTTACCTTTGATTTAAAAGAGTGATACCACCACCTGTTGATAGACAATGTGGCACAGCGTTTTCTGGGGTTTGTGTTCGAGAAGAAATGGTATTACTACAAGGTACTCTTTTTTGGTTTGAGCCAATCTCTCTGGATATTTGCAAAAGTAATAAGGGTATTAATCAGAAGTTGGAGAGCATGTAGTATTTTTTGTGAGAATTACCTTGATGATATTTGGGTTGCTCATCTATTAAGAAATATATTGTTAAAGCAGAGAAAGGAAGTGATAGATATAGATTCACAAGGTTGTGGATGAATTCGAGCAGTAGAGAAAGGCAGTTAGGACTCTATTCAAAAGCTTAAGTTTTGTGGTCTAGTTATAGATACACTAAGAGGCTTGGTTATTGCACCTGAAAAGAAGATCAAAGCTATGTATCTCTACTTCAGGCATTTTTGGAAGTTTCCAGAGTTTCAATATGAAAACTTGCTTTAGTTGCAGGCAAGATTCAAAGCTTAGCAAAAGTGTTTTCACCTGCTCAGATAAAGAGTATGGAATTTTATCAATTAATAAATGCCAAGAACTATTAAGCAAACGAGTGAGATAAATATATTGTTTTATCAAGCCAAGCTGTGGAAGATGTACAGTGGCTTATAAAAAACTTAGTGACTTGGAATGGACATCTAGCATGAAAGCTATTCAGAGTGAAATTAGTCTATGTGGATGCATCTGTAGTTAGTTGGTGCAGAATATATTAAGACTTGGTTGCAAATGAGAGTTAGGCAGAGAAGCTATCAGCAAATGTAATCACCTAACTCAAAGCTATAGTAGTACTTTGCATACTACAATCATTAGGAGAGCAATTGAAAGCTCAGTAGTAACGTTAATGATAAACAACAGAGTAGCTTTAAGTACAGTATAATATAGAAGGCCAAGGAAATAGCAGAAGAACATTGCTAGAGAAATCTGGAATATGTGCTTAGAGAAGGATATAGACATTTTTCAGGTTCATTAGATTCTAAGCAAAAACAACTTAACAGATAACTTTATAAGAGTATTAGATCCAGAAGATTAGATGTTGAAAATGGAAGTAGTAAAGTAGTTAGAAAATTGTTAGAAGAAGTTTGATATCGACATATTTGCAAGCTATTTAAATACAAGATTCAACAGCCTGTATTTCTGTTCAGGTTTAGAAAAAGTAAATTGTTTCTCTTAAAATTGGAAAGAGGTAATAAACTATCTGTGTTCTCTTTTTGTGATGATTCACAAAGCTTTAGCGCATGCTAGGGGTAATAGTTATTATTGTTCTAATTTAGTTGTCACTCTCTAATAGCCTATAATTATAAGAGCAGTAAAGGAGGAAGTAAATCTTTCTCCACCTATAGATATAATCCTACCAGAGCTATCAGATTGCCTAGAACCTTGCAACAATAATTAATAGAGGTTAAAAGCAGTAAAAATAGACTGGTCTAAGAATATCTAGTTCGTACAGAATATTTGATTAAGAATTCTATCAGTGAATTATATAATAAAAGGTTAGAAAAAATATGGAGAGTCTTTTTAGAGTTTTTCACAAAAGCAGATAGTTCTTCCTTACCTGCTTTAGGTCCTACAGTTTTGACTTTTGTCACTTAGATAGAAATGTTAGGATGAGTTTCTTAGTTCTCAAATTGCTTAGCTTCTATTTCCAAAATTCATAAGACTCTAGGTTGGTGTGACCTGATGAAGGACAATGCAGTTCAGTATGTAATAAATGGTTTAAAAAAGCTTGCAGCTCAAGAATCTGAAACGAAGTGGCCAAAGGACTCTTTACTAGTAGAAGCTTTTAAGTATTATTTGAACTTTCTTCCAGAAAGTATTATGAGTTCTGGGTTCGGGATTTGGCTCTTATAGCTCTAGACTTGAGATTGATGAAATGACCTGGAGAACTATGCAGTTTGAAATTTAAGAATATTAAAATGACAAGTGACTTGTTATGAATAAGAATTAACAAATCCAAGACAGACCAATTAGCAAAAAGAAAGTTTATTCCTATCAAAGGAACAAATAGCAGATTTTGCCTTGTTAAAAGGTTAATGAAGTACCTAGCTATTAGACTAGCTACTAAAGGTAATGCATTGTTGTTTCTATCTAAGTCAAGAAAAGTGATATCTGTCTCTGCGATCTCAGCAGTGGTTAAACATTTTGCAGAACATGCTAATTTAGAAGGTAGGTTTACAGCACACAGCCTGAGAATCAGGGGAGCCACAGCAGCTATGAAAGGTGGGTTGTCTATGGAGCAGATCCAGACAATAGGTGGCTGGGTCTCAGATGCAGCTAGATTGTATATGAGAGCTATAGAAACTGCTAGTTTGGGTATATCAGTAGCTATGGGTTTTGGTGAATAATTTATTATATACTTAAAGGATGTACAAGTAGTTGCCTTGCTAGCCTGACAGAATTTTATTGATTAACGATACTCTGCGAAATGAGAGACAAACAATATACTGCTCGATACGTAAGTATCGAGACAGTGTTTGTCTCGAATCAAGTCGAATTCGGTCATGTGACATGCCCGATTACAGTCACATGTTCGATCGTTTGATCGATCTAATTATCGATCAAGGTTAAGTAATTGTCTATAACTATGAGGTAATTAGTAGTAATCGTTTAGTATAGTATATGTGAGTAACTTGCATAAGTATGATGTATTCGATGAGAAATCGTGGGAGTATATATTGGGGTCGATGAGGTATGTAGGTATGATAGCCTTGTTTCTTCTGCAAACCCGATATTAGTTCTGGTTACATCGACCCACCCCCCTTTTTTGCCCCAACTAAGTTGTTTGTAAGGTGACCTGTCGAGACGACAGTCATGTTTTCCCTCTCTTGACCTGTCGAGACGACAGTCAAACGTACATATATACTGTCCTTTTGACCTGTCGAGACGACAGTCAGTGTGCTCACAATTTTTCCTTCCGACCTGTCGAGTCGACCGTCGAATTTATAGGATATAAAACTAAAAAAAAAAAAAAAAAAAACTAAGGATCGATCCTAAGAAAGCTGCGCAGGTTGCTCGATAAGCAGGAGAATAACCCATTTGTGTTTTCATTGTTAACCCGAAATGAGAGACAAACAAATAACGATAACGATAATCGATATAATTTTTGTCAAATCTGAAAAACATATTCTCATAACAAAAATTAAAATGAAAGGGTTACCTAACGAATGCCTTTTTAAAATATTTAAGAATTTTAAGAACGATCGTAGAAGTTTATTATCCTGTCTTCTATTAAACCGTCAATTGTGTAGAATTATTGTACCAATATTATGGAGTGAAATAAATCTTTCTGAAAACGAGAAACTTATAAGAATGTGTCTTTTAGCATTAAACCCAGAAGAACAAGCACTATTAATACCATTTAAAATAGTCTTCCCAAATGATTCAAAACCATTATTTGACTACCTAGCTTATACTACAGATATTAAGTTTCATTCTCTTGAAGGAATTAAAAAATATCTTTGTTATAATTCAAATTCAAACTAATTATTTATGGGTAAAAACAGCTTATTTAATCAGATATTGTTTAATCGTGATGTTTCTACGAATAAGTGAGATACTTAAGTCTTTGAGTATTTTAGAATTTGCATTACCTACTTCAATTATTAAATTAGAAGATAAACAATTTCGTTTAGAAGAATCTCAAGCATTAGCAAAAGCCCTTTATAAAAATACTACTTTAAAATTTTTAACTTTGAATAACGATTTATCTTTTTCTGAAGGAGGAAATGTTTTAGCAAATGCGCTTTGCCAAAATACTACTTTAACCTCATTAGATCTTAGTTGTAATAAGCTTAATTCCGAAGCAGGAAAAACATTAGCAGATGCACTTTGTAGAAATACTACTTTGACCTTGTTAAATCTTTATTATAATTATCTTGGCTCAAAAGGAGGAAAAGCATTAGCAGATGCACTTTGTAGGAATAATACATTAACTTCGTTAAATCTTAATAGAAATCAACTTGATTCAGAGGCTGGAAAAGCATTATCAGATGCACTTTGTAAAAATACTACATTAATCGCATTGAATCTTGGCCATAATTATCTTGGCTTAGAAGGAGGAAAAGCATTAGCAGATGCACTTTGTAGAAATAATACTTTAAAATCATTATATCTTCGTAACAGCCAACTTGGACCTGAAGTAGGAAAAGCATTAGCAAATGCACTATGTAAAAACATTACTTTAACTTCATTAAATCTTATTAACAATCATCTTGGTTCAGAAGTAGGAAAAGCATTAGCCAAGGCTCTTTCTAAAAATACAATTTTAACACGCTTAACAGTTTATGGAAATAATATTGATCTGACTACTTTAGATATAATTCAAAAATTGCTTATAAAAAGAAATTCAATCATATTATAATGATTATACCGGTATATGCTTACATTCAAAAATTGAGTCTAGGATTCTTATTGAGCACGATAAATGTTTTAAATATATTCTTTTTGGCCTGAATTAACATTCTTGTGGATAATATCTATAAATATAGGGTGGTAATTTAAATTTGCAAAGGTTTTCTAAATTAAATCATAAAAATAAAATGAAATAGTATATAAATTGTTTCATAAATAGATTAGAATATTATATACTTTTTATAATTAATATATATGAATGAATTTTAAAGTGTTTCATTATTATTAAAGTAAATTCCCGAGAAAAGCTTGAATAATTTGGTTCGAGATAATTGAATACATACTATATACAGTATATATTTTTTTTAATACACCATAACGGCCAATTTGATTTTTTGGGCCCTTTTTAAATAAATTGTTACACGGTAGTTTCAACAAACGAAACACGTCATAATCATAAAAGAGCTTTTCTAGTACATATACGAGATAAAAAGCAAATAAAAATAAATAAAACAGCTATGCTAAGCTGTAGAAAGAATAGTTATTGAGGAGTTCGGGTATTTATGGATTGGTTTGTCATTAACCCATTGGTTTAGTAATGTGCAAGGGTGGATTCGGAAGCAAATTTTAAGAAAACGTCCGTTTAAACTTACGTTTAACTTATAATTAAATACGTAGATAACATCATTTTCTATATATTTAATTATAGGTCCAAAAGTTAAAAAAAGTTGTTCTTCTGTAAATTCAAAAATTGGATCTAATTTTCTATATAATATAAAACTAATATTTACGGGATTACAGAAAAACAGTATGGTATGGGCAGCCAGATCAGACGTTTTTTTACCATTCCTAGCATCACTGCCCGATGTAACTGATTTTGGTGGTGATGCTAGATTCGTGGTTTTATGATTTAAAAGCTTCTATTGCTTTCATTGCTAGAATATTTGTTAGTTTTGAATAAGAATTTTAACTTAAAAGACACATGAAATCTCTTGAAAATTGTAATTATTATTAGTATAAAAAATCATATACTTAAATTATAACGCAGAGTTATAAATTTTTAAAATGGCGGTTACATAAGTTTGTAATGGTTATGACTCATTTTACCGACAGTCTTTTCAAAGAAAATAAAAATTGGCTAGCACTAACCTAACTCTAACCCTAAATCAGGCTAATATGTCAGTGAACTGACCTGTCGGTAAAATGGCTTTTGGGAAATTGAGCTAGTATTGAGCTACAGTGGTTTGTGGTTTGTAATTTATTATTTAATTTACAAAATTCCTAATCTTGTTGACAGTATCTTTTAATATGATCGTTGAAGGTTCGAATATACAGTATATAAGGCTAAGATTTGTCTCTTTTTAACAGCAAGCACTTAAAATTTTTAAGGCGTTCTCAAGCAGCTTCTTCAATCTGATTTGAAAGTGATCGAGATTTTGCTCAATTATTGCAATTTATTGAAGTAATAATTTGAAGTGTTTCTTGCAACAATATGTAATCAGGTCCGCATTCATATTTTATTCGCGAAATGATAAACTCACTTGTTTAGTTTATTCGAATTCCGACTAATTAAGAGTTTGTTTCAGATTCACTGAGTGAGGCGCTTGAGAACGCCCTTAACTAACTATTTGAGCCAGCGTAAAATATAATTTTTATTAAAGAAATAATGAAAAAAGCACTTTTAATCAAAATAATCAACGATGTTACTAAATGATAAATCAAATGCATAACTTGACTTCTTCCATCAATGCCTTTGCTAACAGCGGAGGTACAGCATTTCCTACTATTTACAGTCAATTTAACAAACCTTTTAATAGAAATTGTTTATAAAAATATCAACTAAAAAATTTTGTGCATATTTTATTTACCTTGACGATATTGTGCATTCAGATCACCAAGGAAAATATAATCATCCGGAAAAGTCTGAAGTCTTGCCTGCTCTCTAACTGAAATATGCCTAAATTCTGTAGGATGGATATTATCCCATCCTGGATTAATCGTGCACAATACAGTAGAAGGGATGGAATCTAACGTGAGCCGTTTTAAATGATATGGAGATGTCTTACAATAATCCATGTTGGGCGATGAATTATTCAAACCTAATAAACAATGTTAAAAATAAATTATCATAAGAAATTTGATTAATTGATAATTTTTTTATTACAATACCTCGGAAGGCCTTTGAAACAGTTGGTGTTGGTGACAATCCCATCTTCAGGTAATTTTCACGTTCCCGTTCCGTACATTCGACATCTATAAAATGCGTTTTTTTTGGCCACGATGGCATACGTATTCCTGGTTTCGCCGCAATTAGAAAAAACCTTTCTCGACGTTGACAAACTCCAAATTCAGTTGCTTTCAATATTTGCGTTTTTAATTTATATCTTAATATGAATAGAATTTATCTCATGTTTGTTAATGATCATTAAATTATATTAATACATATGTACAAGTACGTGTATAATAAGCATACCCGATATCACATAAATCTTTGATAAACATTTTATACATTTCATCGCTTTTACTTTTACTGAAGAATCCACGAACATTTTCAAATAATAAAATTTTAGGCTTTAATTTATCAACGACTAACGGAACCGTCAAAGCTAAGACCATATTATTTGTCATATCAATTATGTTGCCACGCGTATTGGCCATTGTATATCCTTGGCATGGTGGTGCGGCTAACAAAACGTCGACTTTATGAGTTTTGCGCTTGATATGGTTTTTGATAAAATCATAGATGTCGAGAGTATAAACCATTGTATCTTCGTTATTAAATTTATACGTTTCTGTCGCGTTTCGTTCGTTATCAAGACCCCACTCAACTCTAAAACCTGCCATTTTGGCTCCAAGTGAAAAACCTCCAGCTCCACAAAATAGATCACCAACGGTTGGACGCTTTTTAAAAAATTACATAAAACAATTTTAACTTTATGTATTTACTTTATTCCTCAGAAAATTGCATGACTCACGTTATCTGTCGCTTGCATTTTAAGTCGATGTTTAGGTTTAAATCAATTAATCGATTTTATGTCAAAGAACATTATTATTACAACTAAATTTTTTTATCGAGATTATATTTATATAAAATTTTATTTTACAATATAACTTATGAGACTTTCCACATCAATTTATTAAACTATTGTTGAGTATAACTAGTAATTATAACGACATTAATATGTAAATTATATTACCAGTTAAAATATGGATTACGATAAATAGACTCCATTATATCATTTTTATGTTAATATCTGGATTACGATAAATAGACTCCATTTTTATGTTAATAAATAACAACCAATATTTTTTGTAAAAAGGTTTATAAAGAGTGCCATCAAGGAAAACCTGACTAGAGTAATTTGAATTTATATCAGACTGTCGGACAACTTGATCGATGACTAGAGTTGGATCGGTCCTGAAAAACCGGTCCTTGGACTAGTGTTTAAAATTCAAAAAAAAATTTACTTGCACAAATGTATTTTGTGCAACTTTTTTTTGCACACTTAATAGATTTTTAAAAAATCTAAAAAAAATTCTTGCACAGTGCATCTTGTGCAAGCCAATTTTAAACACTGGGACCGATTTACAAACATATATATAGGATAACTTTCTTCTGATTGGTCAATCACTTACAATTGTATTTATACAGTTTAAAGTACTTTTTAAGAATGTAACATTTTACAAGTAAAAAATAAAAATTAAACTCATCGCTATCTTCGAAGAAGTGCCAACAGTCACTATGCAAAATAATCCCAAATAATCC